TTTTTTTTTTTTTTTATTACTCTTTTTTACAGTATGAAGATAATAATTCATTTTGTAATAATTGTCTTAAAAATCGTAAGATGCTGAAGCAATTATTTAAGGAGTGAAATTTAACTTTTTTTTTTAAACTCAACTACAAAAATAATTTCCAAGAAAAACAGTTCCCCGTATTTCCACGCTCACACTAGTCACTATAGTAATTAATTTTTTTTTCAAGAGTTCTGTGAATGGCTTCGTTAATTTAATGCAACCTGTTTTATCTTCAAAAATCAGATGAAAATAACAATTTATACTATTGAATCATACAAACGTGTATACAAGTGATTGAGTAACTTGAACTACTTAAATTTTTTTTTTTTTTTTTTTTTTTTTTGCAAGTGATACTAAGTAAACAGATTGACAACAATTTACTGAGAGGAACAAGATTGCCTATGAGTATTTAAGTAGTTAAAATAATCCAATTTTAAAATCTACCTATTCAAGTTAGTGAGAACACAATCGCTATGTGAAGAACTTCGGAACCCCGCCCTCATAGTACCGTTAGACAACTTTTGTTTAGCTTCGGTAGAAGGTACACATACGTTAGTCAAATATATTATAAATAAAGAAATTATATGGTTGAGCTAACAAAAATTTCTCAAATTTCATGATGAGGGTGATATTCCAAAGTTCTACAAACCGCGAATAAGTAGTTCTAAGCGCGAAAGGACACGTGCAGCCTGCGTGCAAGGTTACGTACGTACTTACAATCCAAATATAGATTTTGCGATCAACAGTGTTCGGTTTCGTCGTCATTGCCGTCGACGTCGTCAATTAATGCACACGATAAGAATATACCTTAAAGTTATACCTATGTAGTTCAGGCCACCCACTAGCGTGACGCGAAGCTATCCCTGCGTCATCTCTGACTTATAAGTATATACGTATAGCCTGTACAAATACGTATCGACGTAATAACATATACCATGTACGATGCTCGTGCCCGCGCTCCCACTGTAGGTAATTTACACATGTCGTAGGAACTATTCCACAAAAAAACGACTATTATTTAATTTTTTTGTAGGGGTGCGCTTTTTGCATACTTGTTACATTTTGTTTGGTGTATCGTAAAATAAATGAAATTAATTAGCGTTACCTTAACTGTCGATGTAGTGATACGTCACTATGAATTTTCAAGTAAGAAATATTTAGAAAAAAATTTCTGTCAAAGTAAACTGGTTCATCAAATTTAGGAATTTTTGTTAAATTGACCAAACTAAGACATATTTATTGAATTGTTTGTAACCTTTGATTTACATATATTGATTTTTTTATTCAACAATTTTTATTTTTATTGGAATTCTAATTACGTCAATGTATTGTATACATTTAGCATATTTTTCCAAAAGCTAAATATTGATTTAATCATAGAAGCCTTGCACTTGGAACTTTGAAAAAACATATCAATTATTCATATGATAATAGTTAAAAATTAAAATTACATACTGGTGCTAAATTATGTACATTTTTTTATTTTCATCCTTATTTACGTTGTCTTAAGTAGTGAAACTACAAAATTCGCGCAAAATAATGTCAACATCATTTAAAAATATTAAGCCGAACTAAGTAAGGTGAATGTCCCAATAATTGGGACATCAGCGATAATTGGGGCATTCACCTTAAGTAGCTTTTGTTTTTGTTAATTTTAGTGTATAATTACATAGAAAAAAATTTTAACAAAATTAATTTTGATTAATTTGTTCAACATAAGCATCCTAAAGATCACTTAAAAATTTTTTTCCACTTTGAATGTGTTTTCTGAAGTTTAAAATCAAAGTACTGAGAGTACTCTAACAAAAATGTCTGTCTTTGTTTCTCACTCCCTCTCTCTCTCTCTCTCTTTGCGTGTGTGGTTACTGTGATATCTCAGAATTTCTTAGGTGGATTTTATTGTACCTTTGAAAATATTTCGATATTGATTTTTTTCACTATGGCCAGGGGTCCTCGAGACCCTAATCGTAGTTTTTTAAATTCTCGAGTACCTATTACTATTTGAGAATAAAAATTTGATTCGTTCGACTATTTTTTTCCAATCTGTAAATATACATCGATTTTATCAAATCGTTTATTTTGTCAGCATATTAAATGGTAAAATCTCCAATCGATCTAAAAAAATTTCTTGAAACAAATGTATTTTAATTAAACATGAAAAAATTAGATATGTACGTGGATAATATAAGGAATGAATTTTTTAGTATTCAAAATTTTTATGACGTGGTGAAAAAATAAAAATAAAAATAAATTGAGTCTCCCAAAAAAAGTACCAAAAAAAGGATGAGGAAGAAAGGTTAGTGCCAATAAATTGACAGTGGTTTTTTTCGAGGTTTTTTTTACTACTAATTCAAAAATTCAGGTTTCAAAAAATTGGCAACATTATAGCGTAAACAATTAATGTGGCATTCTCAACAAATTTATTTGTAAAATAAAAATATTATATAACCTTAAAACTAATCTACGCTAGATATTTTTAAGCACAATAGCTTAAAATAATTGCTTCATTTTTTTGTTTATTTTTCGCTTCGTCTACTTATATCTTGTTTCTATGGGATGCGTTGAATGCACCTGAAAAAAAAATATCAATTTTATAGTAAAATATCATGTATGGCTAAATTAACGAATTATAAAATTAATAGGAGTCTACAATCTCTCGAGAAATCTCTCATTAAACCGGAATTGTTAATTATCTTTTGATAATAAAATTTTATTTAAATTTGTCTGTATCAAATAACTAAACAGCGGTCGATCAGCCAAGACATTTGAAAATAAACAAAATAGTGTATCAGTTAATTTTAAAAATTTTATAATGTTTGTTTGCTCATAATTACATATTATTCATATGCGCTGTTTCATTTCACAATATTTATTTTACGAAGTTTCAACAATGTGGTGCTGTAACTTTGAAAAACAAAGTAAGTAGTCATCTTTATTTTAATCATAGTGGCAATTAAATTTTTTATTTTCATCCTCAAGTTAAGTTTTATTCTGTAAGTCAATAAATATCAACTATTGCACTTAAATGAAGCACCATCTATTTATTTTACCGTTATAATAAGTACAGTCGCTGTAGTATAAAATGTATTAAATGTAGTTGACAATTCCTGCTCACTGCCACTTTCGCCTAAAAATCACTTAAAATTTACGTAGTAATGAGATACCTCATTTTTCATGTAAACAAAAAAAAACGAAATTCCCTCGTATTTTCCTGAAAAATTAATACAAGAAAAATGATTTGTAAATTAAATTGACCTTACTCACTTGCATGACAAAAGTAAACAAAACACCAGCCATTTTAGTGCCACAGCGAACGTACTGACGTAAAGAAAGGGAGAGAAAAAAAACTACTTACTTACCTATGACAGTAATCTCCTCTCAGTTAGCAGTCGTAACATAAATACCATCGGTGCCACATGATCCTTGGGACGTATCCGCGCGCTTCGATTTTTGCTTCTCATTCTCGTGACAGGCGTGCTGCTTGCGTTTCCCAGCTTTGTCGCATCGGTTCTTCTTCCACGATTTCCTGCACCTTCCGAAACCCGGGGCGCCTCTAGCCTTCTCCTCCAAATCCTTGCCAAACAGAAACTCGTCGTGCTCGCAACCAGCCAAAACAACTCTGGCTCTCCTGTTCGCCTCGAGCACCACGTGCTCCTGGCGCACCTTCGTCAGCTTGTAATGGACGTCGAGCAAAATTGCAGCTGCATCGCTCAAGTTCTGCTGAATAACGTCATCCATTTCCTCCTTGCCCACCTTCAGGTTGGACATCGCCTGGCCCAAGGCGTTCAAACCGGCGCCTATCTCGTTCTGCACGCGCTCAATCGTAGCGTCCTTGCGCGCAACCACGTCCGAGGTGATTGGCCCGATCACTCCGTTGGCCTTCGGCGCGCTCAGTACCACCGGATTCCTTTGGAGTAGCTCCGGCAGCGAGACCACACTGGCCGCTCCTTTCTGCGCGATCCTTTTCCAATTCTCGGATAGAGTGTCGAGTAGTCGCTCTTTATCGGCACTTGAAGGTCCCTGATGGTCCTCCCGTTCCATCTCGGTGTTACTACCCGCTGCTTCTGGTTCTCGGCTTACCGATCTCGAACTCTGGCACCGATCACCCATGTCCTCCGTATTGGGTTCGTAACATTTTCGGTCGAGTTCCCGGTCGCGATGCTGGTGACAAAGATCTTCCCATGACGCGGGTATCGGCAAGTAGTTACCGCGTCCGGCAAACGATCTCGATCTCAACAGGTGCTGTAAGCTATGCCGGTGGTGGGGACGGCGGTAGTGTCGAGGGGACGGGGATCTCGAGCCACTGGACGACGAGACTGACGCGATGCTGGAGTCGCTGCTACTGCTACGGGATCGGCAGTTCCGGCGCCTGGACGATCTGCTGCGCCTACCGATTTCCGAGACGTCGCCAGCTGGGATCGCGTTGTTATCTACAAAGTTGTACTTGCCGAACTTCCTCTCGAGCTTTGCCATTTTATTCACGATCTTGAGAGCCTTCTTGCTCCACTTGTCGGATGGGTGGCCGTGAAAATGGTGTCCCTGCGGGTAAGTCCTCATTGTCCACGAGCGATCTTTCCTTGTGCACCGAATCGATGAAATCGCCCACTGCAGCTGTCAAGTCGCGGGTGAACTGTGCACTCGATGACAACGCGGCGATACGCCAGGCTTTTCGTTTGCACTCGTGAACGCGGGCCTCTCTCTTTTTCAATTTTTTGTATCTTTTTCTTTCTCGTGAATACACACGCGAGTGCACGATCCGCAGGAGCTAGCCTGCTCTCCGCGTTGTTGCAACCAACTGGTGACTCATAGGTACCGTGCATATACACTCTCCTGTGTATACCAGTTAATGAATTACAGCGCAGGAATGTCATTAATCGTGCAACAAGTCGCAACTCCATGTTGCGCGTGTGCCAACTAGACGGTAGCGTATGTGTGATTTCGATAAACTTTTTCAGGTGCACAAAACGATTTGGTCCGCTAAACCAGGTGAACGTACTTTTTTACTATCGTGGAGTACCTACATTATCCTCTCTAAGTCACTATTGTGCTTTCGCAAACTGATTTCATTGGCACAGAACTTCAAACTTATTTTCAGATTGAAAGTGAAAATAATAATATTTTAGATAAAAAAATTTTGTTTGTTGCCATTCAAATCAATTTAATAGTATTCCCTTGATTATTTTTTATTCATACAATCAAATTAAACAAGGTTAGTGTGAATTTTTTTTAATGAACTCATGAGATACGTAAAAACAGTATGTTTATTAAATTTAATAACGTACGGTCTTTGTTTTTATGCAGTGTACTGTTTTATTGACAAATAAAAAATAGTCGGTTTAAATAAAATTTGATTGAGAGAACTGTGAAATCTGATTGATCGTACACTCATAAAGAGAAAAAACATTTTGTTATAGTAATATACTACAACTATAAAGTTCAAAAAATATATTCATATCAATTATTTTAATACATAGATTTTCGTCCAACATGAAACTTACGTTTATCACATAGCAAAATAAAAATAAAAAACCTAATTCAGAAATATGAAATATGACATGTATACATTAAACACACAAAATCGTTTTTAATTTTAACTTATTAATTTTACCATTTATTATGTAAAAAAAAAAATAATAATAAAATTCAGATTTCCTAAAAATCACTTGTTGTGTGAAAATGAAGTAGGCTTCTTTAAAATATTTAACACAGATTCATCATTCCTCTACAAAAAATAGTGAACTGTTGTTTGTAGTACAAATTACTTATTTTATTTAACAAACATAATGTAGTAATTGTGAAAATTTTCGAAACATTAAAATCTTTTTTATTTTCAACTATTCTCGCGTGTCATATGCTGACCTATAAAGTGCTGGAAAATAAAATCACAGAAAAATGTCCCGTTGCTTAGCTCAGTGCTCGAGAAATTTGAAATATCTTCGCCTGATGTGCAACAGCTCCGTGTGATGCGCACGTGGTCAGGCCTCTCGGATGTTATTATTTTTTTTCTTATCAACGGCGCGTGTGCTGGCGCCTTGCAAAGCTGCTGACTGCCAGATAAGGCCAATAATATTACTCCGTACGTAAGACGATTGCTCAGCAACCTGCCTCCAATTTTTTTTTTTCTTTCTCGGATCGGGCCTCCTTTACTCTCTTCTTCCGTCATGTTTCCTTTTTTTTCTCTGTTTCTTACGATTACAGTTCTTACAGTTTTTTTTTTCGCTTCCTTCGATAAGACCGATATAAATAGAGTATCACGTGACGGAATGGTGAATTTATCGTCATTGCGGTTAAAATAAATATGAGAGTATGAACGCAACTGCAAAACCTTTTGCAATACAGTAAACACTTTTCGGCGCTGTTCTATTTTGCTACGATGTTACTTGATTTAGTAATTTTTACTGTGTTGTTTTATTGAATTATACCTTCCTGTTATTTAAATTGTTTTAAGTGGCACCTCATAAAATTGATCGCACTTAGTAATTATTGGACGCTTTTATCGATAAGTATAAAAAAATATACTGCTAGTGAACTTAATTTTACATTATATATTTTACAAAATGTAAAATCTAAAACTTTTTATTAAAAAAAATTATCTTTTACTTTTTTACGTGACATTGTGTTTATCATGTAATGAATTTCTGATATTTCATACTGAAAAGTTTACATAAAACTTTTCATCAAAAACTACAAATATTTAAGGTCGTAAGTTAATATTAAATAAATATACATGAAAATATTTATAAAATTTTATATTTTAATGATACGTAATTGAGAAATTTGTCTTATTAGTACTCGTGCTTGCCACAAAAATTAAAGTGAAAATTAAAAAAAAAAAAATGTAAAACTATCATTAATTATTTAATTTACAGTGCGCGGGCGTACCCTTCCAAATCCCCGCCTTTATCGTTCGTCCTCTCCTGACGCAAGCACCCACGTGATACGCGGTAGGCGTCACGAAATATATCATCTAATAGGTATCCAAATAATGTAAGTATAAAATTTTACGACTGTAGACGCAACGATCCAGAATCATACAAAGTACAGTTCAAAATTTTAAGTCTTGGAAATTTTTATGAGTATACGCAACGCAGTGATAAGCATACAATGTCTATATGAACATAAATTAGAAAAACATACGCAATGGATGTAAAAATATAAGTAAGAAATCACAAAGATTATGAATAAAGTGACAAAGCGGAAACCTAGCTGAAATTGATGTCAAATAAAAACTGCTGCTGCTTCGTTAAACAGCTTCCTGAAACTTTTGTTCTACGCGATGTATTTGAACTTTCTTATCATTTTACGTGTACTTGTTTTTTAACACCTCACGATCCCATTCGTAGCAACTTACTTATAGACTAACTAATTTCAATTTAACAAATAGTTGTTTTTACCAAATGGTATGTTTTTCAATTTCAATTTTATTTTTAAATAGATTTATTGTATATAAATTTTTATTTTTTGTTTTTTATTTTCTCTTAGTTTTATTCATTATTTTATTCATTTTCTCCACTTGTAAAAAAACCTTTGTCCTATCCAAAACTATGCTAATATCAAACAAAAGTCCAGAATATACAAGTTCTTTAAACAAAAACATTTTATAATAAATTTTATCAAGCTTGTACGCAAATACCAACAGCATAATTGTGACCGAAAAGATATGGACGAAAACTTAAAAGTTGATTCGTAAACTTACTCAATGAAAAAAAAAAAAAAAAAACCACGTTATCGAACGTAAGCGCCACTCTATAACTTTACAGTATAACGAGTAAAGCGTAGTATTTAATCTCACCAATTTCCCTCTCACACGCGACGTGAGCATCAGCTGGTGGGCTCGTGATCATCGTATCGGTCGCTCTCTCACAGCACGTCTTTATCTAATAGGTAAATAATAATAATAATAATTGCTCTCTGTTGGGCCTCCCTGCAACGCTTAGCTGACTCACTACGTGCGCTTGGCCCTCGTGTTCGCTTCGTGCAATAATCTGAATCAGCGCCACAAATGGGAAAATATTGTCGCACTTACTCACAAAATACGTACTTTTCTTATGGGAAAATTTTATTTTTCGTTATGAAGTGCAATAAAAGTGACTTTTAGTTAAAAATACTCTACATTATTTGTGTGACTAATAAAGTTATGAAGGTTTACTTCGCTAAAGCTGGTTAATTTTTATCTCAAAATTTTATGCTGTTTCGAAAAAAAGTTAATCGATACGAAATTTTTCGTTCTACACCGATGTTCAAGCAATGTTCAAGCTTTGAATTTTTTATTTATTTTTCTTGTAATATACGAGTGAGATTACTGATAGTTTTAAAAACAATCCCCGAGTTTTTTTTTTTTTTTTTAAGGTTCCACGAATTTTCTTAGATTTTCTATTCGTCTATATGTTTATCTACAGGTTTTGGACGTTCTGACGTTTTAGGCGGTCTTAGTGACCTCTAGTGGCGGGTTTTATTACACCTTTACACCAATAATCTGGAAACTATATAGCGGATTCTACTGCAAAGAGCCTTTACTACACGCAAATAAAAGCAAGAAATAACAGAGGGAATAAGTGAAATAACGGATTGATGTGCTGTACTTTTTGAAAATATCAGTCGGGGGCTGTTGGCCTGATAATTTCAGAAAAGTATATCACATAAATATGTCGTTATTCCCGCTATTGTTCCTCTTGCTCCTGTTATTTCCTTATTCCTCACTATTATCTTATTTTCGTGCAAAGGTCGTTTCCGGTCGTTTCTGCACTTACGGTCTAAGCTTTTACACGCAAATGCGATATGAGCAAATAATAAGCAATAAGTAATGGGTGGAAATATCAATGGGAATGTGGAGAATAATGTATAAATACTTTCTAAAAGAACAGTACTTGAAGCTATTCTATAATTCTGATCATACCCGCTGGTATTTATCCCATTCCCTTCATTTCCTTAGCTTCCTTCAACCCCAACTGAACCAAAGGAACAAACCTATTGTTCTTTGCTGTTATTGCATTTGCGTGTAAAGACCCTTACAGCGTGTTCATTGGCCATAGACAACGAGCGCATTTCCATAATTTCCATTACCAGAACAGTGCTACTGGGGCAACCCTAAAGAGGGAAAAGAATCACCGGGGTAAGACAACCCTTGGCCATATTCTTTTTCTCTCCGTGTGGTGATTTTAGTCTGAAAAGTGTTGCAGTTATTTGTGTTGAGTCTCCTGTCTCCTGTTTTCTTCGTTCTGCAGTGAAAATGTACGCCGAGGAAGGTGAGTACAATATTAAACTCAATGCAATCTGACAGTCCCATCTAACCTCAGTTTCCCCCAAAGAGCCGTTTCGAGGTAGCTCTTTCAAAAGATCCTCCCATATATTTATTTAAATACACATTTCCACAACCAGCGGAGCAATACGACGATGAGGAGACAGAGGAGATCTCGTCTAAGTTGTGGCAGGAAGCTTGCTGGATCGTTATCAACGCCTACTTCGACGAAAAGGGTCTGGTGCGGCAGCAGCTCGACAGCTTCGACGAGTTCATCAAGACGTCGGTGCAGCGGATCGTCGAGGACTCGCTGCAGATTGAGCTGCAGGCCGAGGCGCAGCACAAGACCGGTGAAATCGAAAAGCCTGTAAAGTACCTCGTCAAGTTCGAGCAGATCTACCTGTCGAAGCCGGTAAACATTTAAAACAAAAATTACCACTGTGTCTACCTCCAGTTTAATTTAATAGTCCTTCAATACGACAATTCAAACTGCTTTATTCACTCATTATTTCAAAAACATGCTGGATTAATTTACATTTCTTCTTCAGTTAATTTTTTTGTTGATCTGATTTACATCTTTCAGTATACTTGAAATAGCCTTATTTTGCAAGTATAAATTTTATGGGTGGTATGCCTAATTATACAGTTTTTTCCTGATGGATTTCTGAAGTATATTTGCCAATACTTTGATCAAAATGTTATTTGATTTTGTCCGATGAGCTTTTAGAATTTTTATAAATACCATTTTTACAGGCCTAAAATGGTACTATTTTTCAGACTCATTAAAAGATTGTGGATGTACAATTTTTGTATTATTACAATTTTTCATATTAGATAGTGTGTACAATATTCTTGTTTTTTCACCAAATTTACTTGATGCACAAAGTTTATTTACTTAACGTTAAAATGCGTAAATGTACATATTAAAATACCTACTGCCATTAATAATAAGTAATGTATATTGTGAAAACCTGAAAAGACTCATTGGGAGCGGGATGGTGCACCATCGCCTATGATGCCCAACGAAGCCAGATTGAGGAACCTGACTTACTCTGCTCCGCTTTATGTGGACATCACCAAGAAAATTGTCAAGGAATTGGAGGATCCTATAGAGACACAACATCAAAAAACGTTCATCGGAAAGATCCCTATTATGTTGAGGTCTGAGTACTGCTTACTGTCCAGACTGTATGATCGTGATCTAACTGAGTTAAACGAGTGTCCGTTAGATCCTGGTGGTTATTTTATCATCAACGGATCGGAGAAGGTACAAAATATATAATTGAGTATTACTTAATTTGTCGTGTCTATTATATTTTGTATTGTTTTGAATAGGTACTTATTGCACAAGAGAAAATGGCAACAAATACGGTGTATGTATTTAGCATGAAGGATGGAAAATACGCCTTTAAATGTGAAATAAGGTCTTGTCTAGAACACAGTTCGAGACCGACCTCGACATTATGGATAAACATGATGGCAAAAAGTGGAGCAGTAAGTAAACAAACGTTGGCTTTGCATTTATATTTAAAGTGTTATGGTAAGATCGTATATTTTGTTTTCTTAGAATATCAAGAAATCTGCCATTGGCCAACGCATCGTTGCCGTATTGCCTTACGTTAAACAAGAAATTCCAATTATGATAGTCTTCAGAGCTCTTGGCTTCGTGGCCGATCGTGATATTTTGGAGCATATTATTTACGACTTTGACGATCCGGAAATGATGGAAATGGTCAAGCCATCTTTGGATGAGGCTTTCGTCATCCAAGAACAGAACGTAGCTTTGAACTTTATTGGTTCTCGAGGTGCAAGGCCTGGTGTGACGAAAGAAAAGCGTGTGAGATATGCCAGAGAAATTTTGCAAAAAGAAATGTTGCCGCACGTCGGCATCAGTGACTTCTGTGAGACAAAAAAAGCTTACTTCCTTGGTTACATGGTGCACAGACTACTATCCGCTTCCTTGGGTCGTCGGGAGTTGGATGATCGTGATCACTACGGCAATAAACGTCTAGACCTTGCCGGTCCCTTACTTGCCTTTTTATTCCGCGGTCTTTTTAAGAATCTCATGAAAGAAGTGCGAATGTACGCACAAAAGTTCATCGACAGAGGCAAAGACTTTAATCTCGAACTTGCAATCAAAACAAAAATCATCACAGACGGTCTGAGATACTCGTTGGCCACTGGTAACTGGGGTGATCAAAAAAAAGCTCACTTGGCCAGAGCTGGAGTGTCTCAGGTGTTGAACAGACTGACTTTCGCTTCTACTTTGTCTCACTTGAGGCGCGTAAACTCGCCAATTGGACGTGATGGTAAGCTGGCCAAGCCCCGTCAGCTACACAACACACTCTGGGGCATGTTGTGTCCGGCCGAGACCCCCGAGGGAGCCGCTGTCGGTCTTGTGAAAAACTTGGCCCTTATGGCCTACATCAGTGTTGGCTCACAGCCATCACCCATACTTGAGTTCTTGGAAGAGTGGTCCATGGAAAATTTGGAAGAAATCGCGCCGAGTGCTATCGCTGATGCGACAAAAATTTTCGTCAACGGTTGCTGGGTAGGTATTCACAGAGATCCAGACCAGCTAATGGCGACTCTGAGAAAGTTGAGGCGTCAGATGGACATTATCGTATCCGAAGTTTCAATGATCAGAGACATACAAGATCGTGAAATTAGAATTTACACTGACGCTGGCAGAATCAGTAGACCTCTACTGATTGTAGAGAATCAGCAATTGCTGCTTAAAAAAAGACACATCGATATGCTCAAGGACAGAGATTACAACACTGATGGGTAAGACGCGACGTTGGGTACTAATTTAGTTATAAACTTCTTTCAATCAGAGCAATGATTGATTGTTTTTTTTTATCACAGGTGGCAAGAACTCGTGGCCAGTGGTGTAGTAGAGTACATTGATACACTCGAAGAAGAAACTGTAATGATTGCCATGTCGCCTGATGATTTAAGGCAAGAAAAAGAATATGCCTATTGTACCACATACACTCACTGTGAAATCCATCCAGCTATGATTTTGGGCGTTTGTGCCTCAATTATCCCGTTTCCTGATCACAACCAAAGCCCTAGGAACACTTACCAAGTAAGAAATCACACACAATAATTCTCACAACTATTAAGTAATTTTGTAAAGTTTAAAAAAATTTCATGGTTATTTCGTGATATGTTTAGAGTGCTATGGGAAAACAAGCCATGGGTGTATACATTACTAACTTCCACGTGCGAATGGACACGCTCGCTCACGTACTGTATTATCCTCACAAACCACTTGTTACCACCAGATCTATGGAATATCTGAGGTTCAGAGAATTACCTGCTGGTATCAATAGTATCGTAGCCATTTTATGCTACACTGGCTACAATCAAGAAGACAGTGTTATTTTGAACGCCAGCGCTGTCGAACGAGGTTTCTTCAGATCAGTATTCTACCGTTCGTACAAGGATTCGGAAACAAAGAAATTCGGCGATCAGGAAGAGCAGTTCGAAAAGCCCAACAGACAGACCTGCCAAGGTATGCGTCATGCGATATACGATAAATTGGACGACGACGGTATCATAGCACCGGGGATTCGTGTTTCTGGTGACGATGTCATTATTGGCAAAACTTTAACTCTACCAGAAAACGACGACGAGGTACGACAATCAGTTATTGCATGGATTTTATTTGAACGACAGCCAGCATTAAGTTTTTAAATGTTTTTCCGTTTTCAGTTGGAAAGTACCACTAAACGATACACAAAGCGAGATGCCTCGACATTCCTGCGTAACAGTGAGACCGGTATCGTCGACCAGGTCATGTTGACCCTCAACAGTGAGGGCTACAAATTCTGCAAGATCCGAGTGCGTAGTGTGCGCATACCTCAGATCGGTGACAAGTTCGCGTCGCGTCACGGTCAAAAAGGTACTTGTGGTATCCAGTACCGTCAAGAAGAGATGCCTTTCTCGTGCGAGGGTCTGACCCCCGACATCATTATCAATCCCCACGCTATTCCCTCGCGTATGACGATTGGTCACTTGATCGAGTGCATTCAGGGCAAGGTATCTTCTAACAAGGGCGAAATAGGTGACGCGACGCCGTTTAATGACGCTGTCAACGTACAGAAAATCTCCACGCTCCTAATGGAGTATGGATACCAGTTGAGAGGCAACGAGGTCATGTACAATGGACACACAGGTCGTAAGATCAATGCCCAGGTCTTCTTGGGTCCCACATATTATCAGCGTCTCAAGCACATGGTGGACGACAAAATTCACAGTAGAGCGAGAGGACCTGTACAGATTCTGGTGAGACAACCTATGGAGGGTAGGGCAAGGTTAGTACAATGTCTCATTTGAGACTTTGCTCAATTTTAAAAGCAAACGAAACAAGTGTTACAATTTTTGATGCAATTTTTTTTCTTTTATTACAGAGACGGAGGTTTGCGTTTCGGTGAGATGGAGCGCGATTGTCAAATTAGTCATGGAGCAGCTCAATTTTTGCGCGAGCGTTTATTTGAGGTTTCAGATCCTTACAGAATACACGTGTGCAACTTTTGCGGGTTGATTGCTATCGCTAATCTTCGAAATAACACGTTTGAGTGCAAAGGGTGTAAAAATAAAACGCAAATTTCACAGGTTAGGCTGCCGTACGCGGCAAAATTGCTTTTCCAAGAGTTGATGTCGATGAATATTGCACCAAGACTGATGGTTACGTAAATGAATGTTTTCAACTCTTGATACTGACTTTTTTTCTATTAGCTATAAAATTGTATGTACGTACTAGGTTTTTAGAAATTAAGATTTTTGATGTATTTTAATATATTTTGTAAAGAATAAAAGTCATTTTTTTTATTTATAAACGCACGAATTATTCTATCTTCCAATGTTTAAATTAGTATTTTGTAGCATATGAAAGGAATTCGTATCTTCAGCGTTCTGCTGATTTAATAGTGCCATTGATATTTAGTTAACAAATATTGAAAGTAGTAACAGTATTAAAAATACAGTAAATTAAAATTAGTTACTGAGTTTGTCATTGTTTAGAAAAAAAAAAAAAAAAACACAACTTACTCGGTTGGTAATCGACCAGTGTTTTGGGACTAACCATGCGCCACTAACGTAGGGAGCGAAAAGGGCTCAGCTGTAGATAAAGCAGAGCTCGGATAACCAAAACCCGGCAAAGCTTCAGGCGAGTCGCCGTGGAGTGGCGCGAGCGCGGGCGTACCCTTCCAAATCCCCGCCTTTATCGTTCGTCCTCTCCTGACGCAAGCACCCACGTGATACGCGGTAGGCGTCACGAAATATATCCGGCGTCCCCCACTTTGAACTCGCGCCTCCACGAGATTCGCGACAGAGCAGCAATCGCGACGCTACCCGCGAACGAGCGATGATAGCGATAAAATTCGCACACATGCGCATCTGTATATATATGCACGTTGGCACGTATATAAATATATGCATAGCAAAAGCGTAGGGTAGGGTTAGGGTAGGGTGTATGCCGGTAGAACGGCGGCGGCGACTGCAGCAGCAGAGAGCGGCCTTGGTGGGGGTTGTTTGGCAGCGCGGTCGCCGTTTGTTTTTAGTTGCCCGCTGACGGCGGTCGAAAGATGAAGTCTGCGTAATCGTCGTTTTTCTCCTTGCTCCGTTTTTCGCTCGCGTTTATCTGTCACCGGTCGATCGTACATTATATCGTCGTGATTTTATGTAATTGCCACCGCAAACTTTCTTCTCCGTACAAACATACGCTCTGTTGATCCCATCGACGTTGCGCATGAAAAGTACAACTTGCAGAGTGCTCGTAGACGCGTGTGCCAACTGAAGAACAGTGCGGTCGTTTATTTGATCTGTTATCTATTACAATTAAGTACACGAGGTAATTAGTTATTTGTGATACAAAAATGTGCCTCTTATCGTACGAATAATCTCGAGTGCGAGATCTCGCTCGTGTCGTCCGGCTGTAGATGCACCATCTATCATTGTAAAAGTACGACATATCCGAGCAACGTTTTCGTCAAAAGTAGCCTTTTGACGTATAAAGGCTCCTTCGTATTCTTCTCAATAATCACGCACAGCGTCCTGTTTCCTGATAACATTACAATCTACGTATATACGCACCGTGTAAACAAACAGGTGGTATTTATTTTTTAACACTCGTGATCGTGCCCACAAGTAGGTATAATATAATGTACAACCTGAAGGTAATCGTCGCGCAACTCAAACGTTCACGGCGCCGTTGATTCAGTGTGCGTCGGTTATTTGAATTTGTTGGTGATTTCGCGGGTGAACCGAATCAGCGGCAACAGCAGCGAAAAAGAAAAACAAAAGTGGATTATTCAAAAAGTCGATATACAAGGAGCATCCAAGTGCGGTGGTGTATACAGGTGCAGGTGGTGTCGTAGGCGCGGGCATGCTGCCGGCGCTGGATATTATGTGTCGTCGTTGTTGGTGATGGCTGCTGCAGGGAGTGGAGGATGTCGCGCCGCAAGCAGAGCAACCCCAAGCCACTGAAACGTGAGTACGACTAAATATTCACTTTTTTCATTCCCCTGTGATCGATGCCCGTTTCAATCGTATACAGTAACATAAAGTTTTAATTTCACTCGAAGCTTGGCGCCCAATCGATTTTCGAAAAAATACGAGTGAGGTGCGAGCTTGCGTGCATGTAAACTGTGCTGAAATAACGCGCGCGCGCGCGCGCCCTCGCAACTATAGGCCCTCCCCCTGCGTCAGCTGACTTTTCGAGCTTGACGCGACACGTGGTCAAGCCGGGCTTCACGCCGGGCGCGCTTTTTGTGTGCATCTTGACTATAGTCGGGTAATAAACATCGATTCCATTGATAACCATCAACTGTGGTTGCTCGAGCGATGATGACAGTACGCAGGTACTGGTCCGTTTGTGAACTTTGTGAGGTAATGAGCTTTCAAAAGTTACGAGTCTTAAGAGAAGAAGGAGAAAAAAAAACGTCCAGTTTTATTGTCCGCTCGAAGCATCGATTACTCGCCGTATGTTATTAATCTAATCAATTGATGGACTTTTCAGGTAAATTCAAATGAGCACTCAAAAACGTAAGCGCCCGAAAAACCGGTTCTCTTCTCCTTCGAGTGTACGGATATGTATGTTCTTTCGACAGAAAAATCAAACTCATAACATATTTATTCATTGCACCCACTACAACTTGTATCTAAGCATCGTCATCGCGTTTTCGCCAACTCTATTAGTATATGCATGTAGATATGTATACATGGCATTGAAAGTATAGCCCCCAGATATTATTATTATTATTATTATTATTACCTGTGAGTGGAAACATTTAACTCAGAGATAATATTAAACTTGATTTCATTTATTTGCATCAGCCAACGAATGCTCGGATGAATTCGCTTAGAGTATATTCAATCGAGAATAACTTATCACACGCGAGTAAAAGCTATCGCTAAATGCTTGCGCGGTGAGACGATCGATGCGCTTACAAACTCACTGCCGTAGGGCTTTTGGAAAATATATATTTCTGCACTATCCTGTACAATTGGATAAATTTACTAATGATTTCATAACTGAGGCGATGATTATTTTTTTCTACTTAATCGTAAATGTTTTTCTGTTGCTTGCCAAAGACATTTGTTTGTTTATTTTTTTATAAATATTTTTTTATTTGTGCTTGTTACTTAAATATTTTTTAAATGGTTGAAAAAAAACCTAGTCAAAATTATCATCAGTATTTAAATACATCAAGGGCTACTGCACATTAGTGCACACAATATCTAACCTATACCTAGTACAGAATGATGTACTTAAGTAACGTTATGTCTTGAACAAGGTTTTTATTTCATTTCTTACCAAACAAATAATTTTTATTTAAATTCAGTCCTCGATAAAGCAAAGCATTTGAAATTTTTCTTATTTGCACTCGGAAACAATTTACAAACAAACGTATCCCCGCAAGCTTGTTAGAGCCCAATTATAGGGGTAAACCTTATTCCCACCGAGAAGAAACTAATCAAAAGAGTTTCATCTTGAATTCATGTTTTATTTTGTAAACACGGCAACGTAAAACGATATTATCTGTTGGATCGCTAATCTAATGGCATAAACAAAAGAAGGCATACGACGAGAACATAATATAAGAAAATCCAAGTGCATGGGGATGAGCCCCACCAAAAATATCATATACATTAGTATACGGGGTTAGACTATTGGTTGTTGTTACACGTGCGCACACGAGCGCGATTCCCAATATTATTCAAAGGCAGAAAGCGGTTTCCCCGATATGAACTTCTTATCCGACGGTTTTGCGCACACGGTTACTAGCTCCCCGATAACGCCTCGCGACGTCCTTATCCGTGCTTTGTGTGTGTGCTACAGCGAGGATTCGCCGACGAAAAATATTTGCGTGTACGTATGGACGAGCGTATGGATGTAAGTAGCGCATGTATGTGCGAGAGTACACACGTGGTGCGTCGGTGATAGCGTTAATTAACGGATTATCGCTCTTGGGGAAGAAAATTTTGCCATGCCGCGAGTTTAGTGGTGTACTTATGTGCGCTTATGTGCGCACGGGACGGCTGATAATAGTGGGTTGCGTGCCCTGAAATTGTCATGTATACATCCTCACAACTGTTTCGAGGCCGATGTGTGTGGGTTTGTCGTGTTATGTGATGCCTATGAGTATACTTGACACTTGTATTTCCATGGGTGCTTAGTTATTTTCGAGGAAAAAACTGAGCGAGGAATTTATTTTTTCAATTAAGCAAGTGGGTGTGACTTTTTTTCTCCTAACGTTTGTTTGCGTCTCTCTTTTTTTCTTACGAGGGCTGATTGCTTACTTGATTGATGTGCGTTTTATCGAATCTAGTTTACTCACTCATCGTTTGAAAAAAATAATAAATAATAATGAAGGTTTATTAATTTCACTCATTCGTGGTACTGACGAGGATGAGTTTGATTATGTTATAATAAAGTGGTACTGTTTCTTTCATCAACTTGGAGGAAATTAAAAATGTACTCATATTCTTTACTTGATACTCATATTCAAAATCTTACGCCGATTTAAAAGTGTGATGCACAGTGATGACTAAAGTTTCAAAAGCGATGATGATGTGAAAAGAGATAAACCAGTATAGAGAAAAAAAAAGATAATTTGCTTTAGATTTGTGTATACATACATGTATTTATTATTTATATTAATGGTCGATGATTTTTACTTCTCCTGTTAAGGCTTGTAGATGATAAAAAGGTCGTAATCTTTATCAGAGATATCCGAGGCCTTCGGAAATTAGTTCAATTACAATAATAAATGAAAAATAAAAATCTTAGTTCCAAAGAATACCAGTCCTATCTATGTAATTATTACAAAATTAAAACTTCAATAATGTAGATAAAACAAAAAATCGTCTTAAAAAAAAAAAAAAATCGTTCACTCAATTTATTTCCACCACTTTATGCTATGTCTTGAATACTTTTGTGTTTATTATTTCGTAATTTCGAAAATTTTGTACAACAAGAAGTGGAATTAAAAATTTGAGCCCTTGATCATACCTTTTATCCCATTTTTTTTTTTTTATTTGCCACAAATTTTTCGCTTTTTTCATATTCCATCACTCTGCTTTACAATTCGTACGGAATCAGTTCAAAAGAGAGAGAAAATAAAGTCGTTAAATCTTTTATTTATTTTAAAACGTCTGGAAAAGGTTTGTAGTAGAAAACGTTATGAGTATTCAAAGTACAAAATAAACCATTTAAGTAGTATTTTTTGCTTTGCTTATTTTAAAAAATTTTAATCTCTAGACTCTATTTCTTAGACTACAATTGAAGTGA